ACCAGGCGCTAGGAATATTGCAGCAAATAACTCACCTCCTGACTCCTCAAAGCTTGTCCATCATTGACAAGGCACAAGTCAGGAGTGAGATGGAATACGCCCCACTTGCCTGGATGGATGCAGCTCCACCAATACTCAAGAAGCTTGACACCATCCAGGACAAACCAGCTGCTTGATTGGCACCAGATCCACAAGTATCCACTCCCTCCACCACCGATGCTCGGTAGCAGCAGTGTGTACTATCTACAAGATGCACTATAGAAATACACCAAAGATCCTTTGACAGCTCCTTCCAAACCTACGATGACTTCCATCTGGAATGACAACGGCAGCAAAGACATGGGAACGCCACCACCTGCATGTTCCCCTCCAAGCCACTCACCATCCTGACTTGAAATTATATCACCGTTCCTTCACTGTCGCTGGGTCAAAATCCTGGAATTCCCTCCGAACGGCATTGTGGGTCAACCCACAGCAGGTGGGTTCGAGAAGGCTGCTCACCACCACCTTCTCAAGGGCATCTAGGGACAGGCAATAAATGCTGGCCCTGCCAGTAATGCCCAAATTCCACGAGTGAATAAAAAACCTGTAGTCTTTACCCACTCAGTTGTTGAATTCGAAAAGAAATTGGACAATTGCTTCAGGGTGACAAACTTAGCAGATGTGAGGATGAAGTGGGGGAATGGGGCTCACCGGATTGCTTTACAAAGAGCCATTTTGGGCTGAATGGTCTCTTTCACAGTCAGAAGGACCCTAAATAACAGAATATCTACACCCAAGTCTTTGTCGTAGAGTCATAGTGTCATGTCTTGTGGGACTAAGCTGTATTGGTGTAAGTCATGGATCAGGCTACCAAAGATCAATCAGGGTGTAAAAAAGTATGGAAGAATGCTAGTGAGGAGGAAATGGTTTTCCACACTGGCTGTACGTTTTTAGAGCAGGTCATTCACTATTCCACTCTTGGAAATGCCAGTGTCAAATTATTGGGAATCAATTGATGGAAACCAAGCTCAGTTCATCAAATTCCTAAACTCCCAATTTATGAAAATCCTGTGTTTACAATTAGTAAAATTGCCCCAATCCTATCAGACCATAGGGCTGCTCCCTTGTTCATATGGGTGATGGTTTAGCCTGAAGGTCACTATGCCTCAGGTGAGGGGAGGGGAGGGGTTCAGAAGTTGAATCCTTCGTGGTAATCTCAGCTGGTGTAAGAATTGAACCTGTGCTAGTTGGTGTTATTCTGCACTGTAAAACCAGCTGTCCAGCCAACTGAGCTAACCAGGCCCCAGTTAATACAGTGCACAGAAGTCCAGCTAGGTGATGCCGGCCCCATTTTTAGACTTTGCAAAATGTTGAAAAATATGAGGAAATTGTCCCACGCTGCTGATCCAGACTGACTTCCTACCCAATTGTAACAATCAGCAACCAATTTCTTGCGCTCCTTCTCTCCTTCCCTATGTCCCAATATCAGTGGGATAATGAGCGACCCTGTGTTTTTGCAGCCCTTGAATAGAATAGTCTTAGCAAGTGCAAGATGTCCTGACTGTTTCAGAAGCCACTCAGTTCCTATTCTGTTGTGTTGTATCTCCTATTAATGCACTGGTTTTCCTCCCAGTGTTCTGGCTATTAATTTCAGGCCCATTTAGCCTCCTCCTTACATTCTGGTTTAGTGTTTCTTTTTTATTATCCACTTATAGGATGTGGGCATCTTTGGCCAGTCCAGCATTTATTACCCATCCCCAGTTGCCTAGAGAGCAGTTAAGAGGCAACCACATTGCAGGCCAGACCAGGTATAGGCAGCAAGTTTCATTCTCTAATGGGGATTATTGACAATGGTTACATAAGCTATCCTTAGACTTTTAATTCCAGATTTTTATTGAATTCACATTCCACCATCTGCCATGGCAGGATTTGAACCCAGGTCCCCAGAAGTTTACATGGGTCTCTGGATTAATAGTCTAGCAATAATACCAGTGGGCCATCACCTCCCCATTTGTGTGATAAGTCTTTCTGACGCCAGGGCTCACTACTGTCCAGCAGTGGACACTCGCTCAGAGCACATCACACTTCTATCCAGGCTCGATGGACAATCTTAATCAGAGAGGCATCCTTCAATTTCCTGGCTCAGTCTGCGCTCATGTCTGCTTTTCTAACTTGACCAAGTGCATGCCCTTTTGGCTTGCCAGTTAAGATGCTTGCTTTGCTTTTTCTATGTGGTTGTGCAGTCCTAAGTCAAGTATCATAAAAGCTTGCCGTTCAACCAAAGGCCAGCTTCTGGTCGCAATGGTGAATTTTTGTACCTCCCACACGCTGGCGATTTTAGCAGGCTGAAGCGGACCAAGCTTTGTCTTCCAGCTGGTTTAATCTCCTGGACTGAAACCCATTTCTCCATTCCAAAGAGACACACTTGCCTCTTTCTGTGAATTAAATTTGTGAACCAAAATTCAAATTCATGGCCATCATTCGTCATCCAGTCCGATTTTGGCTGTCCCTGGGTAACCATGCTCTGGGATTCCTGGAGTGCTAGTGGTATAGATTGCTGTATGGAAGGTTGCCAATTAACTTATCTGAACCCAGGCCCCAATTTTGCCAGCTGAATGCAGGACCATTGGCCTGAATTTTAAGCAGCAATCTCATGCTTGTAAATATTTAACGGATGTTGCTGCAAAGTCTACATTTTCGGGTGGCAGGTGCTGCAAAGTAAAGCTAATCCACTTCTCAATCAGAGGGACTCTGTCTGCACTGTACTTAGCAGGAGACCATTGAGAGGTTTAAATGCTGTACTGTCAAAATATGACAAGGACCTTGCAATAATGCTAGGAGTTAAGGGCATATGAGAACAAAGAAGACTATAGTGCCAACAGAAGACCATTTGGCCTATCTAGTTCTTAGAAAGTGCCACCCAATTAAACACGTTCACCTTGCTTAATTTAGTAGAAGGGTCAATCAAATGATTTTAAATGCCTCTGGCAGAGTAAAGGGCATAAATATTAGACCAAAGCAATGTAGTCACACCCTAGTGTCACATGATGTCAACCCAGGATCAAATATATGGGGGAAGAAACAAATTGACCACCTATCAAACTGAAATTCTCTTCGTTTGTACTGGATTTGTATAAAATGTAGTATATTAAACTTATCAGGAACACATGCAGAATAGAAAAGAAGTAATACCGTTACATTGTCTGTATAATGAAAGCACTGTGCTTAGTAAATTAATTGTGTTCCAAACTTTGGCTCCTTGCCACTCACTCTTCAAATATTCATCGAGATTGTCTGCAGATAGAAATTCCAGACAGATAAAATACCACTGGGATACGGGGTGTTACATCAAGTCAACAAACAGGAGTTGTGAAGGGGAGGAAAATGTAAGTGGGGGTGAGTTGCAGACGTTCCTATCCATGATCACCCACACAGGGAAGGAGGTGATGTTTGTGGTTATGTAACTGGACTAATAATCCAGCAATCCCAGGCTATTGGTCAGCAGGGTCATGGGTTCAAATCACACCACGGCAGGTGATGAAGATTGAGTTCAATTTAAAAAGTCCAAAATTAAAAGTTGGCCTAATGGTCATTGCTAATTGTCGCCAAAAAAAACCCAAATCTGTTCACTAATGCCCTCAGGGAAAGAAATCTGCCGTCCTTACCTGGCCTGGCCTACATTTGGTGCTCATATGAACAAATGCTTAAAAAACTACTGAAAGTCTCAGTCACACAATTGGGGAAAGGTGTGTAGCTGCAAAAAGATTTTCTACCCTTCCCCACCCCCCCACCAACCAAAGAGCGAGAAGAATATCACAGGCAGGTCTGGACCATGCTGCTGGACTGATTAGCCTAGTCCCTGACAGATAGCTGTGCCTAATGTTATGGAGGGTATGTGGAAATGTCGGAGACTTGTTTCAGAGCAGCAGATGAAATTTACAAAGGAAGTAAGGAATTACCATGACACCACATTACCAGTGGGGTAGCTAATGAGGGAATGATTCAGACAACCCTGAGCCATTTTGAAGTTTGATGTCTTCGTGTTTCCTAGTGGTTAGTGACATTCATTGACTCCAAAAGAAGGGCAACATTCAGGATAGACAATAAAGTTCAGCTGGCAACAGTTGAAAGATCAAGCATCCGACCCTCTTGTGGCACAGTGTTGCTGTCCCTACCTCTGGACCAGAGGACCTGAGGCCAAGTCCCACGTGCTGCAAAGGTGTGCAATAACATCCCAGAACAGATTGTTTGGAAAAAATAGGTCACACCCACTGGGAGAAGCTCTGGTGCAGTGGTAGTGTCCCTACCGTTGAGCCAGAAGACCCGGGTTCAAGTCCAACCCACTCCAGAGGTGTGTAGTAACATCTCTGAACAGCTTGATTGGGAAAAATAAAGTTGGACCCACAGGGGGTTGAGTCTCATGTGATGCAGTGTAGTGTCCCTCCCGCTTAGCGAGAAGGCCTGGGTTCAGTTCCTAGAAGTATGTAATAACATGATTGAACCAAATGATTTTTAAAAAAATCTACAACTGAGTCGTTGAAGGTAGTGAGGAGATCCCAGCATTGTTGTGAGACTGAAGTTACATAACGGGCCAGACCAAACAAGCTTCAGACCGACTGAGGGTTGGGGTTCATGTGGTGCAGTGGTAGTGTCCCTATCTCTGGACCAGGAGGCCTGGGCTCAAGTCCCACCTGCTTCCAAGGTCTACATTAATGTCCCTGAACAGGTTAATCAGAAAATATGTGAGACCCACTGAGTGTATCTGGACTTGCTATTTGACAGTATTCTTTCCCTCTGTTACTCATGAAGCATTCTCTGCAAAATACCCCTTCTTCCCAAATTCCCATACATCCTCCACTGTGTTTTAGTTTTTTTGTCTTGTGCAGTGTCGTGTTTAGTTCCTGCTGTTATTTAAGTAGCATGTCCATTACTGTGAGGTAACATAATTCTGCTCTTCTCTCTCCCACCCTGTCCCCCTCCTGCTAATGTCTCCCTCACCTCACCCTCGCTGTCCTCAGAGTTTATCAGGAGCACCTTGCGAGACTGGCCAAACTTTCTGACTGGTCCCATATTCAGGTGATGCCATCAAAGCGAAGAAGAAAACTTTTAACAAAATACTCACAAACAGGCACTACATCATCACTGAGCAAAGAAAACTGGAGGTGGTAGTCTGTGGACTAATTGTGTTTTTTTTTAATGAAAGAAATTAAATTGCATCATCTCAGTGATCTACTGTATTATAATAACCTTAAGATAAAACAGAAAATGGCATTTTAAATGATTAATAATAGTCTTTTTAGTGTTTCTTGATTTATTTTGAAATTTATTTGAATCACAAATATTATTTTTCTCCTGCTATTTGTGTTATGGCCTAGTGATGTAGTTCTTAGACTGTATATGATACTTCTGACACCATTAATCAGCAATGTAATCTCTTTGTGTGTGTGTGAGTGTGTGTGTGTGTGTGTGTCGTTTTGACTGGGAAAGAGCCCTGATTTCGTTCACACAGCCCCATCCCCCGTCCCAGATTTTACAAATTCTGAAGACCTGATAAGTGTTTAAGGGGGGTGGTGGTGGGAAGGGGAGGGGCTGGTGTTGGTTTTGGGGATGGAGGGGGAGTGATGCGGTATGACTCAGCTATAACAACAGAAACAAAAAGTGAGGAATAACTGAGAAGGAGATGTTGGGGAGAGATAGAACTGCTGTCTGCAAGTGGGGAGGCTATTGCCCGGTTGAAACAGGGCGATGGGGGAAGACTGTTTCTGTTTTAAATGTTACTGTCTAAAAGGAGCGGAAAAGTAACGATCAGAAATAAATCTATTTTTTTGTCCTGCAATTGTATCTTGGTTAGCTCCACTTTTGGCAATAAGGTCAGGACTGTGAGATTTATTTTCCAAGTCCTTTTTCTATAAGTACTGTTTTCACGGGTTTATGTTTAATTTTCTGGTCGTCGTTTAAAGCGGTGATTATAGTATAAGGCGTTTATTTTTGTCGTTGAAGTTTGTGAACTCTCGAATACTGTAAATAACGATTCCAAGTGGCTGCATATATTCTGTTCAGAGAGAGAGATACTGAGATTGAGAAAGAGTGAGGGATACAAATGTTTTGGTTTTTTAAAAAATATGCTTATGGTGCTGCTCAGGGATAGTGGCACACTTGGTGAAATACAGAATCTATACGTTGGAGGGAAGTTAGAAATGCTATCACGCCTGCTTACCTGGGCGGCACTGTAACGATACTAGTGTAACACTGTTCAGCTTCCTCTGTAGCTAATTCCTGAAGGAATTGCTGACTGTACTCGCGTCATTACCAGTATGTTAATTTCTAGTCGATTTCAACCCTATGTAAACAGCTCCAGAAAAGCATCTTTAGTTTAGGGTTTTTTGTCTCAGTTGTACATGGATTTCTTATTTTACATCGAGAAATGGGAAAAAAAAAAGAATTTTTTTTTCACTTCACGGACTGAAGAAATAATCCACGAACAAGTTTTAATTACTTGAATTGATTTTTTTTTTGTTTGTCAAAATGAACAGGCTGGGAGTTCTGTCTTCAGCCTCGAAATTATCAGTGGCTAAATATTGTCACATTTCAACCATTCGCTTTTCTCTCCTTAATCCACCCTGTCGGTCACCGTATTGCCTGATTAGGGATAAATAGCAAGGCAGTACAAAAGCAAAACTCACACGAGCCTCTTATCCATTTTACTCTGTATTACTGAATTAAGAGCAAAAAGAAAGGTTATTTTTCACGAATACCTCAGTGCTGTATTGGTTTCAGCATAGAAGCATTCTAAAGATTAATTTATTGTAGACTTAAAGATAATTAAAATAACATTTTAAAAAATCGTTGCACTGTGATTGGTAGGGAGAAACTGACAATTTCTATTTGCACATTTAATTATTTGGCATTTTTTTATGGTCCTGGATCCCCTTAGACAGGGGGAGATGTATGAAGGATAGTCTAATTTCTTTTTGTTACATTTGTCTTTTATTTTTAAATTAAATTGAGACAAGTAGGGCTCCAATAGCCAATAGATTGACATCTTGTTAGGATGATGTGATGAAGTGGGAATGTTGCCGGTTAGTTTATTGTATTTTGCTGCACGACAAAGCAACAAATCATCTGTTTTTTTTCGTTTGAAGAAAGAGAAATAGCAGTAATTCTTCAACACATGAAATTTGGTACTCTAAGACTCTTTGTTAATACACTGATTCATAGCTGCTGCACTCCTGGATTATTGTTTCCAGATAGGTTACAGAAGAGTTAGCAATTAACATATGGCCTGACTAGACACAGAAGCAGGTAACTATAGAGGCAGTCAAATATTATGACATGAAAACGACAGTGGATCCTGTCAGGGTTGCTTTTAAAAGAGAAAAAAAAACACATTTGTTTTTACTCCCTGTTTTATTTTTGTCTTCGGAGCAACTGGTTTGTAAAAACGCTGGATGCGTAGACATTTTTATAAGTGAGAAAAGATTTGATCGAGGCACGAAATTGAAATAATAACACACATTTTAAAGAAGATAGAAATTGTTCTTGGGAAGAACAAACAATAGTTCCCTAAGATCTGATTGTAATCAGGGAACATTTGTATTAATAAATAAATATATATATATTTTTGGGGGGTTTGTTGATAATTCTGAACTGTTTTTCCTAGTTTATTTTATTTTTCCTCATTCCCTTTCACCTCAGAGATACATTTCCACATCCCCTCCGCCCCAGTTCATTGTTAGACATTGATGTATTTTTGCTAGTGTATACAGTTGCTATTGTCCTGGAGTGCTGTCTTTGATGCTTAGCGTAGTGATTTTTTAGACAAAATAATTCTAAATAATTCTAAAATAAATCTTGAGTATTAGTTGTAGACGTATTGTAAGTTAAAAGAGGAGAAAAAAAGTTTAAAAAAATTTTTTTAAAGACTAAAAAGGTAAATACAAGTTATTAGATGTAGTTAAATGAGATCTAGGACCAGTAAGGATAGGATTTCCTGTATTTAATAATTAATAATTAAGAAAAAGGTAATTACTAACCATTATAATGTTGGGGCAATTCTGCTGATCTGACATGGTTTCAACTAACCAAAGCTTTCATGACATTTTAATGCTGGTATATGGAAGGCATTAAGTGGATTCCCCACCCTTGTCTTTTTAAAGGGTTGCCATACTACCTTAAATGCTAATGCTAGATATGCAAAACTGGGTTTTTATTATTTTTAAGAGGGACACAAGCTATAATTATGAAAATGATTTTATTAAGAAAAGAATCCATATTTTTTTAAAAGCTCAGATGAAATTGATAAAAAAAATGATTGTGTGATAAGTTTTAATGTTTATATACACATAAACCACAGTCCCAGTGGCCCACTGCACAGATATTTTTGACGAAATAAAATATGTTTTAATGTGTCTGCCTATATAGTAAGGTTTACTTTAGTTCTCACTTGTCTAGAGCGTTGGATTTGTTAAGGTTTTTTGTGACTGAATATTCCGTCACTTTAAGAAGAGTCCATACAATTTTTATTTTTTAATTTGGTCTTGTAGCTTGGACTTTAAGGTAGCATGGCTCTGTTTTGCTCAAATTTTATTTTTCATTGTACAACAGTTTACAGCTGATGAATGTTACACATCTTGCTTAGACTAGTTTCAATTCATTGGGCAAGTGTTGGTGATTTTTCTGACCTGAAAGCTGTTTGACTGAACTCGGTGCTTTTAAGGCACTGCTGTTAGAACTTGAAGCTGAGGTGAGGAGCTCGGGGAGTTGGGGGGTGGGAGTAGGTGGGGCTGGGTCTGGGTATGTGTTGGGGTAACCAGGTACGAGCCACAGTGACCAACCTCCGTGCCAAGCGTGATGCAGCAAAGTCATGAGTTACAGTTTGGCATCACGCTGCAGTCCTCTTGGAGAGTTTTGTTCCCCCTGTTTAAATTGCTGAAGGGCGGGGATTGGGGGGATGCAAGAAAGGGAGAGGACCCAAGGTTCAAGTAACACCATGAAAAGTAGCCCAAGATGCCTCAGCTGGCTTTAGCAGTAACAGAGTGACCATTGCTACAAACATGGGATATTGAAGGAAGATCCTGCACCAATTAATTTCAAGTACTTGAGCCATTTTCTCCGTGGCCGCTTGTTGTACCATGCAGATAGGGGCTGTCAAGGTCTTTGGGATGTCCTGGGGTCACTAGGGATATATTTCTTTCATTTCACGCCTGCACCTCTTTTCTGAATGTGAGACCTCCTGACACTTTGACTTCACCTCAACCTTACCAATAAGAAGCTGTGGAATAGTAAAAGATTAAAATGGGAGGGAAAGGTTGATCCTGCCCCATCTCCTAACCCCAGTGCAGTGCTGAATCAGTTCACCTCATGCTTTATATACTCCATGGTCAAACAAGTCTGGAGTTTAACTTTGTTAATGACTTACGCATGGCAGCAATGAGTGTTATTTGCACTTTCAACATTGTGCTAAAATCCATTGACGTGTTTGGCCGTTGGCTCAATTATTTAATGTCTTTGGAATTAATCTGTTAGACCAGGATTTGCTTTAATGTGGCAATTGCAGCCTCAGGCAAGAACCACCAGTGCTCAGCACTAATGCAAATTGACAGAGCAAACATCTTTTTCTCCTTTGCTTTTTGGGAATGCCAAGGGAGGTCAAGAACCAAAGCAGCTATGATCTAGTTTTTAGGGATGGGTGTGGGAGTATCTTTGGGAGGTGCCCTTGGATTTTTGTCACCAAGTAACTCAATGTAGATGGGATGCTCCATTATGAAGAGATATGGACACAGGCAAGAAGAATTGAAAGATTGAGTTTACTTTTATCTGTTCGATTGCTTAGTGATGCTGCCTACTGGGTAATTGTGAATTTAATTCATTCGCAGCTCTTCCCATCTTGCTGACACTGAAATGGCTACGTGTCAGATGGTCAGGAACAGACAGTCTCCAATTCCGATAGTAATTTGAAACCAAGAAAGATAGCTCTAACATGGTAGTTATTGCAGACAGAGAGATGTTAATGGGATACTGCACTATATGCCCATTTTAGCTCTCTGTCAGGAGCTCACTGCCCATCATAACAACACTACCACTCTTGTCAGATAATTACAGGATATGAAAACCTAGGGCACTAGTTAATTTTATCAATGGAAGATCATTTGGTTGGCTAGTTTAGTTTTACTTATCCAGTTAATGTTTGTAATTAGGTAGTGTTAATCTTCAGAGGGATGAGTGTTGACTGCCAAGTGTCTTTGGCATATGCATTACAGCAAGTAGAGAATGGACAGTGACCACACCAGAATGGAGAGTGGTGATGCCAATTGGTAGTGAATGGGCAGTGACCATACCCATTGGTAGTGAATGGGCAGCGACCACACTAGTTGGTAGCGATGAACAGTGACAACACCATGCCTTCAAGGTGGGCAGTGACCAGTTGATTTTACCAGCTTATTTACTGAAAGTAACATTGCAAAACATTTCCTAGGACAGTTCTTAATTTATGACTACCCCCACCCCCCTACCAGCAGTCTTCTGTATATTTGTCTGAGCACAAAATTGCAATCCATTCTTAGAGCTACTGCTACACAATTCCCACAGCAATTTATTTGGCAAACAAGTTTTTGAAAGGGAGAGCTGTCGGCTCTGATTTGATCCATGATGACTCCTGATAAACATAGGACAGTCCAGAATGACAATAAAGCAGTCAGTCTCTGCCTCAAGTCTACTTTGGCCCTTGACTGACTGAAGGACAGTTTGAATTGGGGAGGGAATCGAGATATCCCCTTGCTGCTGTGCTTTCTTTCCCAGTTTGTTGTTAGGAACCTCAGTGCCACAAGTCGGTCAGAAGTCAGAGTTGATATTTGATTTTTGAGGTGTGGTTTGAGCCTCTTGCCAGCTAATGCTAACGTCACAGACTGCCATCCCTCACCATATCACTCTTCTATTGGTCCAACCTTAAAAGGACCAGGTGTAACAGGAGGGTTGACCCTGAAACGTGTGTGTTTCTGAGACAAGATGTCATGTTCGGGATCTGAGCAGAAGGCCACGATAGCTTCCTTCTTGGTGCAGTGGAACCACAGATGTCCACATGATTTCTCCAGTGGCACCAGATGGATTAACAACAAAGCTGAACTGCCAGTTTCTTTTGCCCTGTGGGTCTATTCCTGTTACAAACAGGCATATAAGACTCTGTGAATGTGGGACTGGTCACTCTGTCATTGCTTGATCCTCAACATTTTTTCCCTCTTCAACAATCTCCTACAAGTTGTTATTAAGAAGTTTTTGTTTAAATGGCCAATCAGTTTGTGAAATTGACCTGAAATGGACAAATATAAGTTGTTTGCAGAGGGTTGATTGGAGATTGGAATCTGATTACAGCCCTGCTGATTATTGTGCTGCTGTCTGGTGTAAACATCTTCACTCTCTCTTTGACTTGTTCTTGCCTTGTTATTTACTTTGTAGATTGAATTGTAGACTATGTTTAGAAATGCATCAGTGTTCCAAAGTCCAGTGCAATGTGTCAGTAAAGTCTGAACTAACCCAGAAAACTGAAATGAGGATGAGACGGAAGAGAAACAAACAAACATTGGTACGAAAGAGGCTTTACTTCCAGCACCTCTTCCCACTTTCCCCCACTCTTGGCTTTAGGATCACCACAGTGAAGTTCAACCCAGACTGAAATTTTCCCTGGTACAGCCCCTCCGTGGTGCAGGACTCCCCCCGGTCTTGATCCTCTACTCCAGAGTCTGTGCCTCTGTCTTGCTTTATTTAATGGCGGTACTGTGCTGTTCCTTGTGTTCCCATTTCTGTACTTCTCACCACATTGTTAAATACTCATGACAAGTGGTTCTGCTGGCAATGCGGGGAGCCAGAACCCTTTTTTATCCCCAATATCGCCGTAGTTTCTTGAACTTCCCCCCTACCCGGCCAAGCCGAGAGAAAGGTAACTTTGGCCAAAAGGAGCCATTTTTTTCTCACATCCTTGATGAGTGACATTGTTCCTGGACAGAAACATTACTTTGGGCACAATGACAAGAAATATCAAACACGCTTGCAGAAGACAACACTGGAAACTGGGGGCACCCATTGTATCTTTAGGGTTCTGTGTTCCTCACTGTTCTAATTATTGTATCTGTAAGGAGAGCTATCTGCAGCATCCTCCACACTCCAATTACTGCGCCCATACACTCACTGTACCCACTTTGGAACTGCTTTTGTAAGAATCTGATTTTTTTGTGCCTATGTCACTCTGAACAGCCACCAGCTTCATCAAACTACATTTGATTGTAGCATGTTAAAGTGCTTCATGCACTTTGCGGAGATATGGCTGACTCTCCACTGAAATAAAACAGTAATGCCGTGAGTGTACCAGTCTTTCCTGCTGGGTGACTGATCTGCCCATGTTCCAAGACTAGGGCATGATGGCCAATCGCAGGTCCAGGCAGCAGGCTGTTAAGGCTATTGTTCAGCCTGACTGCCTGCCCTCCTGCTGCATCTATACCTGCACCTGGGTGCCCCTCAAATGGAAGCATGTGTTGTCTACCAGCGCACTTCATACCACTCACCAGCATGAGGTGCTAGGGGGCCTAGATCACATCTGGAAGGCTTGTCAACTTTGATCATTAATCTCCTTTGTGTTACAGTGGCGTAATAGTGGTTCCTTTCTAAAGGATCATGTAATTGGTTCGAGGAACCAAGAAGAGGTAAAATTGAAGACCAGTGATTTTGACTTCAATTTGGGCAACAATTTCAATTGGTTGTGCAAAGAAGCCATTTAACACGTTCTGTTCCCTTGTTGGCAACCTCCATTTCAGCATTTCATACAACAGTCTTCAAAAGTACCTCTTTGACTGTAAAGTGTTTTAGGACACCCTGAGATCATGAACGGTGCTATATGAATGCAAGCCTTCCTTTCACACAAGAAGTGAAAAAAGCCAACTTTTGGCCCCTGGGTTCCATCTGCAGCATCTGGTGCAGGCAATTTCTTTGTGTGGACGCCTTTGTATTACTTTAATTCCTAGCTGTTAGCTTAGTACAGTTGTATTTGCCGTTGCTTTTAAGTCTTATCTGATATCCCTCCATATAAATTGTTGCCATCTGCCCTCAAAACTGAGCAAATTAGCCATCCACATGTGTAGGCCACGTTAAACTGTATTGACACCACTTTTTCTGGTCAGTGTGTCTTACGACTTGGTCCAGCCTGAGCAAGCAAGGAAAACCGGCCTCTCCTTAAAATGTAATATTTCAGCGTGCTGCGTTGAATTGGTGCTAATTCAGACAAAGAGAAAGAACTTCAACAGAAAGCATTTTAAGCAATTTCCCTCCATTGGTGATTTGAGCAATGCTCATCAAGGTGATTGACACTCGTATCGATTGTCAAATGCTCTCCTGAGTTAAACGCACCTCAGCTGGATTCCATCCAGGCAACATCACAACCAGCAGAAGGGAACCTCCTTGATATGGAATTGTTTTCTGTTTCCAATATAAATCGGTATTAAGCAGACGTTGCCATTCCATGCCAGTCCAGACTGTTGCTCCAAGGAGCTAGACTTGAACCGCTCAAATTGATGGACTGAAGGGCCTCTTGTGCACTGTAAAACTCTATGACTGGCCGTTTCGATCTTGACCGCATGAATTCAGGTCCTGGAGGGCTCGTCGTGGCTCGTCACACCCAACTCACAACATTGCGGTTCTTTAAGTTATATTCCACAGCCTTGTGCTAAAATCTGGGTTCACTGCAGTGCTGAGGGAGAGCTGCTTTGTCAGGCATGCTGTCTTTTAGACAAAATGTTTTACTGAGGCCCTGTCTGGCCACTCAGGTGGAAGTTTGATGATTCCTTGGCAATACAGAAGGGTTTGTGGGAGAATTTCTCCTTGGTGTGCTGTCCTTTAACCAACAGTACTAAAAGCAGATGACCCAGCTATTATCCCAGTGCTGTTTTGGGATCTTGCTGTGTTTCCATTGACTAGCGCATTCCCTACTTTACAGCAGTCACTTCACTTCAAACACCGTATCATCTTTGGGCTGCGAGGTGGCAAATGTCTCTATGTAAATGCGCAGGTCCTCTCTTCTTACAAGGTTATTTCACTTGATGCCATTTCATGAACAATATTCTCAAAAAAGCTGTTAACAAGTCGACACCGAGTACAATTATACAATGCTGCAAGCCAGCATTTGTTCAGAGTGCATTGTGAAAACTGAATTGGCAGTGTAAGCGGTAAAACTCGATGTTAAGGAAAGGAGAGGGTTTCATTGTGACAAATAAGACTCCTGCTGAAGGGGAAATAATAAGCCAGACCTCGAAATGAAAGATTCACTCAAGCTGTCTGTAAACCCAGTAACTTGCTGTGTATTTCCACTGCCTTCTGCTTTCTCTCGTTATTTGTGTTTTGATTTTTACTCCCATGGCTGTTCTATCTAGTTGCCTCGTCGGGTGCCAGTGTCCGCACCTTGCGTTAAGTCCGTGCAGCAAACCGTTCTACACTCCACAGAAAGCCTTTGTCTAGAAAGCACTTTGAGACATTGCAATATGACAGAGGAAAAAGGTTTGGACAAGGTACTGTCTTATACTGGGGCAGGTCTCCACGCTCTGCCACAGGCTTGCTGAGGAATGACAACTGAGACTTTGATGTCACAGTTGGTGAGGTTTGAGTTATCGCAAGAGCGAGGCCAGCAGCTACTTTACAACAGAGGTTAGACTTCAGAAAAAGTGGCTTTTGGATGTCCTGAGGTCATGAAAGGCTCTACATAAATGCACGTTCTTCCTTCCTCAATGGCTAAAGGGTGTCGTTTCTGCCACCCTCCCCCACCAGCTCTGAAGGGAAAGTAAAAGGTAAAACCCAGATAAAATACCCCTTAAGGATTGAGTTTCTTGAGATTGCTTTACCAAGTGAAGTTCCAGGGGTGAATTTTGTCGTAGTCTTCTCTTGCGATCAGAGTCAGTCCTTACCTGGAGGGAGATGTTTGCAAAAAGGCCGGGCCTTTCCAAGTATCATGGGAATGAGGGGTGGGTGAGCTGCAGTTCGGGGTTTATAATGTCACTGGTTTGTGGTCCTTATATTAGTTCAAGCTAGCGTCCTGGAAGACAAGCCTCAGCTCCATTGTAGCTTCACAATCAACGGAGAGAAGCAATAGCGTTAGATGAGTACGGGGCTGGGCTGGGGGACAATGCAGTTGTTTGCGAACACAGATGCTCCTGCAGGTGTTGGGGAATCACTGTGGCTCACTCACTCTTCCCTCCCCAGCTCTCACCTCACCATGAAAATCCAAACTGTCAACACTGTAAACACAACTAGTTTCAAAACAAAAAGCATCTTTCAGGTCCCTGTGTACGGCTTACTAAGCCCTGTTGTAAAATATGTGGATGGGGCTCTCTCACATCACAGATGTGGAAAGTATAATTTTATATTTGTATTTTCAAAATAAAAAAAGTTTGTGAAAGGTTTCCATCCTCTACTGTGGTCCAGAAATCAATGTGTTTGTCTGAGATAATAAAAAAAGTTTAAAAAATGAATGGTTTTGAACTTTTTTTTGCCAATGTGTTTTGTATTAAACCAGACAGCCAATCAGAATATTGTCACATGGACATAAATCTGGTATTACAGAATGGTTGCCTGCTATATGCACCACACAGTGTTTAAAGCCACTGCTATATTATCAACAACACACAGTATTGATGGACAATGTGTGTACAAACTGACCAACACTGTACAATATTGATGTGCTCACAATACACAATGGCTAATAGAGGCTCCACCCGAGATTAACATGCCTGGAATAGACCCTACCCAATATTGAGGCACCAGAATAGACTTTACTAGGTATAGACTTTGTCAGATGTAGACTTCACCAGACATAGACTGCACTAGCTATGCCACCCAGATGAATATATCACTTGATATAAATGCCACCACATAGACTCCATCTGAAACAAATATGGCCTGATAGAGACATTTCCTGATATACACTCCAGACAATATTCACACTGCATGATATAAATGCCATTAGATTATAGATGCTATCTGATTTAGGTGCCACAAGATATAGACCATGTCCAATATAGACTGTGTTTGTACACCACCCAATATAGTCTTGCCTCAGATATATTCACTGCCTGATATATGCCCTGCCTGATATAAATACCATCAGATATATTCACTGCTCAATATAGGTTACACCAGATATATACAATGCCCAGTACAGACTCCACCAGATACATACACTGCCTGGTATACACTCCTCCAGACATATACACTACCCAGTTTAGACGCCACCAGATATATAAACAAACAGAAATTGCTGGAAAAGGTCTGGTAGCATCTGTGAAAAGAAATCAGGGTTAACATTTTGGATATGGTGATCCTTCATCAGAACAGATATATACACTGCCCAGTATAGACTCCATCAGATAATACACTGCCAGATGTAGACTCCACCAGCTGTATACCCTAGCTGATGTTGACACTGCACCATATAAATGCTGCTTAACATAGGCACTGCCAATTTAAATCTGATATAAATAACAATCAATAACAGTATAGACTCCACCACCTGATGTGGCACCAGCTGATATAGATATCATCAGATATAGCCACCACCAGGTATAGATATTGTCCATTATAAATGCTACAAGGTATTGATACCTTATCTAGATTATAGATACTGCCTGATACTGACGTGGCCCAATATTGGAGATGGCCTGAGATAAATGTCACCTAATATTGATGAACCTGATACAGGCACAGCCTAATATTAGACATCAACTGATATAGACACAGACCAATATAAACACTAGAATAAATATTACCCAGATATAGACACTGCCCAATATTGACATGCCCATAATAAACATAGCCCCTGATATAGACACTACCCCAATACATGTACCACCTGAGATTACACACCCTGAAGATAGACTCCTCCCAGTAAGGAACTAACCAATGTAGACACTTCTCATTACGAACATTGCCCAGTTAGACACACATGATGCATAATCATATGTAATGATTGATGTTGCCTAATACAGACACCACTGAATATTGAGACTGCCCAATATGGGTAGCACCCTCCTTTCAACCCACAGGAGGAGGTTGAGAGAATCACATCTCAAAGCCAGCCTGTGGTTTGCTGCAACTGGACACACAGGAAGGTCCTCTAAGCCTTTCTGACTCTTCTGTTTGCCCCTGAAAGACCACCTCCTGAAGTTCGGAGCCCACTCGCACCACCTGTGGACACATAGAGACAATCCAGACAATCTCAGTCAGTCTTTTTTTTGGCTGACTTTGACTGACTCAGTCCACCATTTGTATCCTCACCCAACCCTCCAATGCTGCGTCCTGGAAGATCATCCTGGGAACGAGTTGGAACTGGAACCTGGCACACTGCCCTGTGCAATGGCTTTTAGTATCCACACATTTCTGCTGCTAGGCTCTGGGTAGGGGCCAACAATCCAACCTGATAGCTCTGTTTCCAACTCTATGAATATTATATGATTGTTGAAACTTTCCAACAAATTCTACAAGGCAGTTGGTTATCTCAGTTGGCTGGACAGCTGGTTTGTAATGCCAACAGTGTGGGTTCAATTCATGCACTGGTTGAGATTACTGCGATGGATTCTCCTTCTCAACTTCAGCCTGAGGTGTAGTGACCCCTCACGTTAAACCCCACCAGTCATCTCTCCCTCTCTGATGGGCAAGCTGGTCCTGAAAGGACGATGCAGAATTTAAAAACCGAAAGAACTGCGTTTGCTGTAAATCAGGAACAAAAACAGAAGTTGCTGGAAAAGCTCAGCAGGTCTGGCAGCATCTGTGAAGGAAAAAACAGAGTTAACGTTTCGGGTCCGGTGACCCTTCCTCAGAACAGGACCCGGACCCGAAACGTTAACTCTGTTTTTTGTCCTATGCAGAATTTACCTTTGTATGTTACATTGACTGTTCCATTGACACTCTAGGACTCAAACAAGAGTGGATTAGAAAAAAATATTTTGGACAGCTCTTACCATCTGTGTGAAAAAGCTGATTGTATTTTTTTGTTCAAAATTAATTACTTTTGCTTATTTGTGTGATAACACTTAGAGTCATTGAGTCACAGAGACATACAGCACGGAAACAAACCCTTCTGCCCAACTCATCCATGCTAACCAGATATCCTATATAAACCTAGTCCCATTTGCCAACATTTGGCCCAGATCCCTCTAAACCCTTCCTATTCATGTACTCATCCAGATGCCTTTTAAATGTTATAATTGTACCATCCTCCACCACTTCCTCTGGCAGCTCATTCCATACACGCATCACCCTCTGCGTGAAAAAGTTGTCCCTTAGATCCTTTTAAACCTTTCCCCTCTCACCTTAAACCTATGCCTTCTGAGTCTGGTCTCCCCTACTATGGGGAAAAGATCTTATCTATTCACCCTATCCACGCCCCTCATGATTTTGTGAACCTTTATAAGATCACCCCTCAGCCTCTGATGCTCTGGGGAAAATAGCCTTAGCCAAGTATGTGGTGAATAGCACTGATGCATTTAAGGGATAATGGGATAGTTGAGGAGGGTGGGAGGAGGCTTCTGAGCAGTTTAAACACTGGCATGGACCATTTGAGCCAAGTATGTGGTGGATAGTGTTAGGTTTTAAAGTCTGGCTCTTTTGGATCATAAAAAAGCAAAATACTGCAGATGTGGGAAATCTGAAATAAACACAGAAAATGCTGACAAAACTCAGCAGGTCTGTTTCCATACTGTATGTTTCTATAAACTATGCCCCATGGCAAGGAGGTCTTGTGGCATAATGAGTAGTGTCGTAGAATCCTTACAGCGCAGAAAGAGGCCATTCAGCCCATCGGGTCTGCTCAAATCCTTGGATTTGAACCAAGGCTAACCCACCTATCCCTGGACACTGCAGGTTAGTTTTTAATACAGCCAATCCACCTAACCCACACAACGTTGGACTGTGGGAGGAAACTGGAGCATGGAGGGACAACTCCACACAGACACAGGGACAACGTGTAAACCACCCAGACAATCGCCTGAGAATGAGGTCAACTGCATCTATAGAGAGAGAAAAGTTTCAGAGTTCTGAAGAATATTGGACTTAAGATATTAGACTCTGGTGTGGTACAGTGGCTCAGTGGTTAGCATTGCTGCCTCACAGCACCAGAGTTGGGTTTGATTCCACCCTCAGACAGCTGTCTGTGTGGAGTTTGCATGTCATCCCTGTGTCTGTGTGAGTTTCCTCCAGGTGCTCTGGTTTCTTCCTGCAAGTCTAAAGGTGTGCAGGCTAGGTGGATTTGCTGTGCTATAGTGTCCGGGGATGTGCAGGCTAGGTGGGTTAGCCATGGGAAATGGATGGTTTCTGGGATTGGGTGGGTTTCTCTTCAGAAGGTTGGGTATGGGCTGAATGGCCTGCTTCCATACTGTAGTGATTCTATGATTAACTGTTTCTCTCTCCACGGATTGCGTGGTTTTCTGTTTGTTTCTCTCCAGGATAATTCGTGATTGCATTCACTTTCATATTTATCCCTTTTATTTTCTCATAGCAATGTATATGTATATATACAGTTTTATCAATGTTACATTGCACATTCTATTGGGGGCCTGTATAGGAAGGAACCTTATTTAGCCTGCTGAGGGCTCCTGATTTCCCTAACTAGCTTATGCAGTTATTATCACACTGGCCATGCTTTTGATTTAATTAACAAAAGATTTCTGACTATCTTTTCCCATGGAATATAATTAGTCAGCATACCTACCAGCTTATAGAGATCGCTCCAATACCCATTGTTTGCTCAGGGGGATGAATGGTTAGCTGCCAGGCACAGCATCAGCTCATTGTGGAGGGTATGAACTTGGGAAGCAGTCTGGGGCAGAGATAGTAGGAACTGCAGATGCTGGAGAATCTGGGATAACAAGGTGTAGAGCTGGATGAACACAGCAGGCCAAGCAGCATCAGAGGAGCAGGAAGGCTGACATTTTGGGCCTAGACCCTTCTTCAGTGTTCATCCAGCTCTACACCTTGTTATCTTACATTGGGCACACTGTTGTTCTAGCTTGTTGTGATCTCTGCCCTGACTGACTTCATTCAAATGTACCCACAAAGCAAAGTATAAAGTATAAAAACAGTAGTATAAAATCTGGGGTCTAGGCCCGAAACATCAGCCTTCCTGCTCCTCTGTTGCTGCTTGGCCTGCTGTGTTCATCCAGCTCTACATCTTGTTATCACAGCAGTCTGAGGCAGGTCGGTACATCAATATAAAGACTGGGTGCAAGGTAGAGGCATCTATTTATGGGGTGTTCCCACTGTCTCTCATTAATAGACCTCAGATGTTGCCCAGTTTGGACTTACTGCTAGCAAGCAAATCATGAGGCACCTTCTCACTATGACAACGTCCTTTAACATATACCTCCATCATTCATTTAGGATAACAGCTGAAAAGCAACACTTGCCACCTTATCTCAGTCCGAAATGCTGGAATTCCCTTCCACGACTTCCCCACTTCTCTTTCCTTCTTTACGCTGCT